TCTGAGGTTGTCAACATTGATGAGTTGATGAGGAGCGTACAAGCCACCAAGAGAAGGAAGAGAGTTTGAAATCAAAAGAAAGCAAGGATAAGCAAGCAATTGTTGGATTTAAATGTTGATACAGTTATAAAAATGTTACAACGACTGCAGAGCATAATATGGATGTTGATCAGATCATCAGCAATGTCTTCAAAGAGGTTGAGACAGCTGCTGCAGTCAGTCCCCCTAAAGACTACTGTTACGCAAGTTGGAGGCACTAAAGAACCCTTGAAGGAGCCAAAAATGTAAATCCCTGCACCAAAGATAAAAGATGCTGCTACATCATCGGTTACTAATGTTCTTGATGCTATTGTGGCTAAGGCCACATCAACATCAACTAGCCAGATGTGGAAGAGTTCACTGAAGACCAAGGTGACTGCAAAGCGCCTCCGCCCTAGTATTATCAGCCCTCACAAAAGCTCAAGGAAGCCTACTTAGGGGAGTTTTGTTCTCCTTTTCTCATGACTTTTTATTTTTATTTGTTGTTGTTATTTTGTGTATGCATAGAGGACAATGCATTCCTTAGGTTTGGGGGTGTGTTGTTCAGTATGTTTGGTATGTTCGGTACGTTTCTTTTGTTATGTTGATTAGCGTTATTCCTTTTTTTATATTTACATTTTGTGTCAGTTATGGTAGTAATTAGGAGTGCATGTTGTTTGGCATTGTTTGTATGATTTGAGCATTTTGTTACAACATATAGGAAATACATTTTTAATGCTGCAGGATTAATGTTATAAAATCAATGAAATTTTTAAAGAGAATTTTGATGATGCCTAATGATAAAAAAAATTGTACTGTGAAATGCTAAGGGAATGTTGTAGAGACTTGTTAGAGTTAGAGTAAATAGAAACCTTTCAACATTATAGGTGCATATTCTCAATACTTAGAGATGTTAGAAAATTTTGAACTTTAAATCTCATATCTTTATTAGATGCTATAGCAGATGCAATAAAAAAATATTTAGGAATAAGTTGGAAAAGTTGGTAATAGCTTCAACGTAGTCTTAAGAAATAAGTTGGAATGCTCCAACATTATATTTAAGCAGATCGCTATAGCATTGAAAATTATTAATTGAGTAGGAACAATTTTTCTAACTTAGCTAAGTATTGATTGGATACACCTAGCCTGCACATTATTACACTATATAGATTATGATTTTACTATATTTGCACTGCTTAATTTAAGATCATATGTATTATATATGCACTGCTGCGGTAATATTATGAGGGCTGAAAAAGGAAATTAAAAATTTTGATTGGTTCATGATAATATTTTGTGGCTTTACTGTTAGCTTTAGTTGCATTTCATGTATGTTGTTGCTTGAGGACAAGCAAATATTTAAGTTTGGGATATGATAACTCTCCAAAAGAGTTGTCTTTTAGGATCCTTTTATCTAGGTTAAGCTTGAACTTTAGCATCATTAGGAGCATATTAGGATCATTTGTACATAATTTTTACATTATTTGCATCATGGGAATTAGTTGAGGTGCTTTGGGCTGGATTTGGTTTCATTGCTGAAAAATGATACGTTGATGTTGTAGCATTGCTTAAAGATGTAGACAATGCTGTGTAGAGGCTGCAACAATCAATGGCTCACCTTAGAAGAATCTTTTAGAATGGACAACTGGAAGGGGGCAGCTGTCAAATGGTAAAAAATCACCTAAAACGTGGAGGAAACCCATTGGTTGACATCCCAAATCCTAAGCCTATAAATTGAAGAGCTTTTTGCATCATTAGATATCATATTTTCTACCTCCAATTATTTTTCTCCACCACTTTCGATCACCCATGATAGCTTAAGTCCCTCATCGGGGAGCATTGCAGCAGCCTGGGAGCTCTGGGAGCTTTGTCGACTAGCATCAAAGATCAAGAAGATTCATTTTCTACTTTTGCTCTTCGTTAGAGATATGGAAGTAACAAGTAGATTTGACTGTTAATTTTTGTGGATGATATTTTGGGTTATTAACTTAGCCATTTGTGGAGTGCTTTTAATTATGTTTTATGTTGACTTTATGTTATATGTTGCTACGCTTCTAAAGATAGTTGTAGAGATAGAATTATCTTTATAGATGTTTATTAATGATATTTAGAGATAAAAGTCATTAATATATGTAATGCTTTTTTTCAGCTTTGGTATGCTGAAAAGCAAGTTTGCATGTGAGATATATGCTGCCCAATATCTAGCATTGTTAATAGTTTCTTGATTGAGTCAATGAGAGTTTATTTATGTCTACTAGATAATATTAATAATTGCTAGATGCATAAACATTTAGTTCTTAACATACTCATAATAGAAGCTACCAAATATCTTCTTAATCCATTCAATCCTTAACCTATTGGTCTCACTAATGCTGCAGCTAAATTTGAATTTTAGCTTTAGCCATTAGCTTGCTTCTAATTCTTTCAATTTAAATATCTTTTCATAAATCTTTTAGCATAATGCTTTCTGTGGGTTCGACACTCAAAACTTTCTAACTTTCACTTTATTACTTGATTTACGAAACGTGCACTTGATTTGAACGTTGCATCAATTTTATATCATGACATGATTTGAATGAAATTGAAAAAGTACAGGTTTGACTGATTCGTTGAAAGTAAATCTTTCATCGAATATTTCTAGTTTGACATAAAATGTTTATATTTGAAATGTTGATTTGCAGCTTACAGAATGTGGAAATGGTTTTGAAAGTCAGTTTTATATTATATGGTATTACATGATATCCATATTATGATTTATATTTTGTTATATACATATGTTCTGGCATATTTATATTAAAGTTATAAAATGCATCACTAAGTGTATATTTAGCGTGTGATGATTTTTACGCGTAGGTAAATGAATTCGAGTGGAGTAAGGAGCTTAGCTTGGCATCACTTATCGAGGATTATCTACCGGTATCACTAATGACATTCTACTGTTGTTTTTTATTTTCTAGTTGGCACATATACGTATAATAAGTGTACGTAGTATTTTAATATGGTTATAAATTTAAAATGGTTTTGTAGTAGATAATATGTATGAATTTTAAATAAGTAATATTTAATTATATTAGTTATGAATATGGATTTTCTAGTTAATAATTGGTGAATTAAATTTTTGTTACTATCGAGATAAATTTTATTTTAAGCAGTTTTTAGACAGTTTTATTTGTTATATGATATAGTATTGAACTGTTATGTTTCTGCCTTAAAATGATTTTGATTTGAATATTAAAATATTATATTTTGACTCAACGCAATTAAATATTTTTTTGTTATACTTGTTAGATTTGATGATTTTAAAGAAACAAAATTTTATTAATTTTAAAATAAAGAATACTTTGATAAATTTATGTGATATCTCTGACTCACATACAAATACGGAAAGGGGTGTTCCATTACGTGATATCTAAATGTCTTCGTGACAAGTCTGTTTTTTTTTTAACTGAATTGTATTTGATTGAGTAGTTTAGGTAATTTAAATATATAAATAGTACAAATGAGTTTGATTCAAACTTGGTTCGGTGTGATTACATCTTTATATAACACCATAGCTAATAACTATAAGTATAAGATGGTATTTTTGTTCGTTGTCCCAAATTAATTAAGCTTCGGGGTTCAAACTCATACCGCTTTGAAACGGATGTTGTGAGTTTCATGGAAAATATTTGTTGTGAAGATAAAGCCCAAAAAGAGCAGATGGAAAACATATGTTGGACATTCAATGGATTGTTGGTCAGGAACAGGACAAAGATTGCATGCAAGCAAAATGCAGACGGTGGGGAAAGAGGGGGTCACACGTTTGGCGGCAGGAGAGGCGGATAAGTATCAGATGTTCGAAGAAAACAAGAAGAGCCCGACACGTTGCAAATTTGGTTCTGGTTGGCTAACTGGTAAGGGAGAAGGGGTATGTATCGTCTTCGTTAAACTCGCTGAATAAATCAGAAGTAGAATTGAGATATCATTGCTGCGTGCACCGTTAAATGCTTATTATGTATCACGTCGATCACATCAAATTCACGAAAACTACATCGATGCAGGGACGGAGTTAGAATTAAATATTGATAGAGGCTAAAATATTAGATTATTTAAAAAAATATAAAGATTTACTAGATATTTAAACTCGAAATTTAATATGAAACAAGCGACCTTAGTGATTAAGGGATTGTTGTTATCCTTGAGGTCTTGAGTTCAAGCACATATGTAGGGGTATGAGCATTTATTGTCAAATAGTTGAAAGTCTTTGTACATATATTACTTTGTATTCATCCTAAATTAAAAAAAAAAACTCAAAACTCAAAAGACAACTTCTAATTTGTCTAATATTTAAACTTACAATGACTTAAATTGTAATTAGACAAAAAAATTGATAACACAAACTTAGCATTCTTTAGTTCAACCCCTACTTAATTAAATATTTAATATTTTTTTATATTTTTAAAATTTAAATATTTATTTTTACATTAATCAAAATTAAAATTATATCAAATATATAAATTTTAACAAAGGTCGGGCCCCTTGGGCCCTAAAGGAACTCCATTCCTGCATGGATGACCAATTTAAAAATATTTTTAAAATGAGTATATGTAAGCTCTATAATTCATCATCGATGTCCCTCTAGGATAGAAGAGAAACCAAGAAGGAAGATTACAAAATAAACACGATTCATTATTGACTGTTTAGAAATTAAGTACAAATTTGTTGTTCCATACGGATCACCATATACCATATATATATATATATGGTTGAGTGTTTTGGCTTCACGGTCACACCGCCATCTGTTTCGTCATCTTCTTCGAATTGCCTGACAATGACAAAACCAATTGATTGTCTTCATCGCTTCTTTCTTCCCTATTTTCTCCTCTAATTTATACTTTTCAAACACCAAAATTTCGATTCTCTTTCTTCTCAGATGCTGATATTCTTTAAATACAACACTACCATATCATCTTCCATAGACGTTACAGATTTGTTTTGAACAATAAAAAATATAAATTGATGGGTAGAGTAAAGCTCCAGATCAGGAGGATAGAGAACACAACAAACAGGCAGGTCACTTTCTCAAAGAGGAGAAATGGACTTGTAAAAAAAGCTTATGAGCTTTCTGTTCTCTGTGATGTTGATGTTGCTCTCCTCATGTTTTCTCCTTCTGGAAGACTCAGTCTCTTCTCTGGCAATAAAAGGTCTGCTTCTGCTACCTCAATATATACATCTCTTCAGATTTGATATTTGTTTCTTTTGGTGTATTGAAGCATCGAGGAGATTCTGGAAAAGTATGTCAATCTTCCAGAGCATGAACGAGGAAGGTAATGGAAACTGTTTTTTATTTGTCTCTTTATATTTATATGGTGTTCGTTTCTGCTTCATTGACATGGCCTAGTTGGCTTTTTACCTTGCACCGGCTGGTTTAGACTGCGTAATAAAGAGGTAAAGAACACGTTCCACCCATAAACATTTAATCCCAGGCTTCGAAATTTGCTTAAGATCGATGTGTTTATATATATACATGTTTTCAGTTGCTAGTGAAGACACTTGGGAAGCTAAGAGATGAAGCTGACAGGTACTTTAGATTCCTTCGTCTACCTCTGATTTCTCTTTGTATATCCTTTTCTTAACGTTCTTATTCTTTTTTGAGTTATAAAGCAGCCCGGTGAGCAGCGATTCAAAGGAATTGCAACAAGAGATTGTTGAATGCAAGTTCCGGATTGCAGATATGCAGAAAAGACTGAAGTATACTCTTCAATTATAGCTCCTATTTGACGAAATCAATGCTTAAACTAAACTTGAAACTTGTTGCAGCATCTTCGAGGGTGAACCTGCAGAAATCACAACGTTGATTCAGGCTGAGTTTCACGAGCAGTTCCTCGAGGAAACACTGAAACAAGTGCGATTGCAGAAGGTGGGTCATGAGTGTATATATGAGTAATTCTTTACTTATCGATGCATGAGTTACACTGAAATTTATCATGATTCGAACGAACAGCAAGTTTTACAGGAAAAATACAATAGTTTTAAAGCCCCAGATGCTGCAGATGTAAGTGGTTTCGTTACAGGAAGTACTTCAGATTGGATACCCCAAAAAGATCCACAAGTTCAGATCTTGAACTTTTTGGATTCAAATGGTCTTCTTCCTCAAAGGTGCTCTTGTTGAAAACATGTACATATTTTAATAATTGTCATAAGCATCATTGGTTTTGCTTGATTTGATCTTCAACTCATTATTTACAGAGATCAATGTGAAAATATCTTACCACCGCAATCCACAACTCTCCTTGATGGAGAAGAAACAATAAATGTTTGCCATGATATGCAACGTCCCGAGTTCGAACAAGTCATTGATGTCAACTTGTCCCCTTGGACTCAACTTTATCCTACAGGTATTTGTGGACCTGCAGGGTTTCTTTGAGATCTGATGTCAGTGATCTTATGAATGGAAAAGTGACTGGAATGTAACTTTTTAAATTTGTTGAACGAAATATATAAATATAAAAAGAAAATGAATAATCTGTTAGTTTACCTTGATGCAATTAAAATATATTTTTTAAAATTTGATGAATATAAGTGTATTCAATTCGATAATTTACCCTTCTTTTAATTGTCCTTTTTTTTTTTACTTTAATCCTAACAAATCTAATATATCTATTATATATTCACTGTAATTAGTTACACCGGCACTTTCGAAAACAATCATATGTGGAGAGCTTAGAGTATTAACATGTGGCAGTTTAAAACTTCATCATGTGTAATGCTTTATATTTTTTTGTGTTTAAAATATATTATATAACAAATTCTTTATGGTAAAGTACAGAATGATCCCGACTATAGGTACTATTTTATTATGTCCCTTAATTATTAAAAGTTACAAAATGATCCTCCGACTACATAGTATTACTTCGTTAAATCCCTTGACTATCAAAAGTTACAAAACGGTCACTCACTATTCATTATGTTCCAAACTCATCATTTTCAGTTAAAAAATTAATAGTATTATCAGTTGAATATTAACTTGTTGATTATAATATTATAAAATTTGATCATAGAATCTCAAACGACATCTCAGGCATCATATTGACATCTAGCTTAGACAACTGTTAATTTTTTAATGTAAAGGGTAACTTTAGAACATAATAAATAGTCGGGTGACACAACTGCTGGACTATTCATCATGGATTCTTGGAAGAGGTTCGACAATCTTGGATTCAAAATGTTTCAGGCGACCCTATGATGATCTTGTTTTCCAAATTAAAACGGCTCAAACAAAGTCTCAAGCGATTTAACAAGGATAACTTTAGCAGCATCTCGGACCGGGTAAAAGCAAAGAGAATTGAGTTAGAGAAACAACAACTTCTCTCTCTAAAAGGAGAAGATGCTATTGAAAAGGAACTTGCAATTCATGATGAGTTGAAGATTTTGAAAGAAGCTGAAAGTTTATTCCTTAAGCAAAAGGCTAAAATCCAATGGATGAAGGATGGGTCAAAAACACTAAATTTTTTCACTCCATGGTGGCCTTCAAAAACAAGAGGGATACCATTAGAGTTTTTGTGGATAAAAGAGGAAATAGGCTTGAATCCTTTGACTCTATGGCTAAAGAAGTGATTAACTTCTTTACTAATCTTATTGGAAATGTCGACCCCTCGGTTAAAGCAATTGATCCAAACTTCATCAAGTCTATTCTTAACTACAATCTGTCATATGAAGCTTCTTCCTGCCTTGTTAAAGAAGTTATTGCTGAAGAAATTAAAGAGGTCATCTTCGACCAAGGAAATGATAAAGCCCCCGTCCCGGACGGGTTTTCCCCTCTTTTCTTCAATAAAGCTTGGAATATTGTTGGTAAGGATGTTATAGCTGCGGTTAAACACTTCTTTTTGAATGCTTCTTTAATTCCATCTTTTAATTCTACTGTTGTTGCCCTTGCTCCTAAAATTCCAAATCCCAGTAGCCCATTTCATGCTGCTCAGTTATTTACAAATCCATTACCAAAATTCTTGTCAAAAGATTGACTGAGGTTCTTCCTGAGATCATTACTTTAAACCAGACAACTTTCATCAAAGGTAGAAACATTGTGGATAATACTCTGCTTGCCCAAGAGATGGTTAAAGGATACAGTAGGAATTCCATTTCACCTAGGTGCACTATTAAAATTGATCTTCATAAAGCATTTAATTCCTTCCACTGGGATTTTATATCAGTCATTCTTAAAGCTTTAAATCTTCCTCAAAAATTCATCGATTGGACTGAAGCGTGTTTTACTCAAGCAAGGTACTCCATATCCTTCAATGGCACTTTGATCAGTTATTTTAAAGGAGCTCGTGGTCTTAGGCAGAGGGATCCGCTTTCACCTTATCTCTTTGTCCTTGCTATTAAAATCTTATCCAGATTACTCAACCTGGCTTCTAGTAACGGTTTATTTGGTTATCACCCTAAATGTAAGAAAATCGGGCTCACTCACCTATCCTTTGCAGACGACCTCCTGATTTTCTGCAAAGGTAATTATGATTCTGTTGCTAGTGTTCTTAGCATTTTGGACCATTTCAAAGATATCTCGGGCCTCAAGATCAATTCCTCTAAATGTGAGATATTTCCTGTTGGAATTACTTCATGTTCAATTGAAGACATCAAACAGATAACTTGCTTTAATATTGGGCGTCTTTCTGTCAGATATCTCGGAATTCCTTTGGTTACTCGCAAGTTGAAGGAGAAAGATTGCGAAGCACTTATTGTTACAATTAAGCAAAGACTCCATATGGACCCTCAGTAAGGATAGTCTGCCTCAATTCAGCGTCATCAGGCACACAATATCTACCTTTAAAGCATAAAACTTCATCCTGATCAATTGCGTAATCTGTGTTTGTCCCCTGCTCTACTTGCTCAAAGATGGAAAGCAAGGAGCTATCAAGGGGCTGCTTAGCTTTGATCTCATCAACCAAGGTCGGCTTAACTTGCAATTCTGCTAACAAAGTGCCATCGTCATATAAATTCATCTTGGCCATTAAAGACCTCAACTCTGATACCGTATTTCGACTCAAAGCATCTGCTACAATGTTAGCTTTACCAGGGTGGTAATCAATCACGCAATCATAATCCTTTAGAAGCTCTAACCAGCGACGCTGTTTCAAATTAAGTTCCTTCTGGGTCAGAAGATACTTTAAGCTTTTATGATCTGTGAAAATGTAACACTTCTCTCCATAAAGATAGTGTCTCCAAATCTTCAAGGCAAAAATTACTGCTGCCAACTCTAAATCGTGAGTAGGATAATTACACTCATGCGGTCGCAGCTGACGGGATGCATAAGCCACCACCTTACTTTCCTGCATTAAAACACAACCAAGTCCTGAATGTGAAGCATCACTATACACTGTAAAATCCTTCCCGGACTGTGGTTGAATCAACACCGGTGCTTGAGTCAAAACCACCTTTAATTTCTCAAAACTCTCCTGTTGTGCTTCGCCCCAGTCAAACGACACATTCTTCCTTAACAACTTTGTCAAAGGAGAAGCAATGATCGAAAAGCCCTCAACAAAACGTCGATAATAACCAGCCAAGCCCAAGAAACTGCGGATTTCAGATACGTTCTTAGGTCGTTTCCAATTCATAATAGCCTCTATCTTGCTGGGATCAACCTGAACACCTCGCGCAGAAATAATATGCCCCAGAAATGACACTTCTTGAAGCCAAAACTCACACTTGCTTAGTTTGGCATATAGACGATGCTCTCTCAAAGTCCGCAGAACGATCTTCAAATGCTCGTCATGCTCTGCCTCAGTACGAGAATAGATCAGAATATCGTCAATGAAGACCACCACAAATTGATCCAAATATGGTCGGAACACCCGATTCATCAAATCCATAAAAGCTGCAGGAGCGTTCGTCAAACCAAAAGGCATCACTAAAAATTCATAATGACCATATCTAGTGCGAATGGCCGTTTTTGCAACATCAGATCCTTTAACTTTCAATTGATAATACCCCGAACGAAGATCAATCTTAGAGAATACAGTAGCTCCTCGCAATTGATCAAATAAGTCATCAATCCTGGGTAATGGGTATTTATTCTTGACCGTCATCTTGTTCAATTTCCGATAGTCAATACATAATCTTAGCGACCCATCCTTCTTTTTCACGAATAGAACTGGAGCTCCCCATGGTGAAGTACTATGTCGGATAAATCCTCGATCGAATAATTCTTGCAATTGGACCTTCAACTCCTTAAGTTCCTTTGGAGCCATGCGATAAGGTGCCATAGAAATAGGTGAAGATCCCGGATAAGTCTCAATCTCGAACTCTACCTCTCTATCAGGAGGTAACCCAGGCAACTCCTCAGGAAAAACATCAGGAAACTCGCTAACTGTACGAATCTCATTGATTGTGGACAATGCACCTTTAGTGTTCAAAATACAGGCAATGAACGTCTCATATCCCTTTCGGATCATACGATCAATTTCCACCGCTGAAACTATATTGGAGAGATAGCCACGCCGTTCACCAATTAACACCACAGTCCGACCATCTGAAGTCTTCAGAGTAGCCCGCTTGTATTCGCAATCCAGCTTTACCTTGTGTTTATTCAACCAATCCATTCCAAGAATTAGATCGAACTCCTCTAGAGGAAGCTCCATAAGATCAGCGAGAAAAATTTCTCCCTAAACCTCGAGAGGGCAACGCCGAAATACTTTATTCACTAATACCGCTTGTCCTACTGGACTCGTAACTGTAACAGTATTTTCAGTGTTCTCTATCGGAATCTGAAGGTTTCGAGATACTGAGTTCGATACATAGGAGTGAGTGGAGCCATTGTCCAGTAATGCAAAGTATGGGATAGAATAAATAGTAAATGTACCTGCAATAACCTCAGGCTCGTCTCTGTCATCCCGACGTCTAGTGGCATAAACCAAGGCTGGCTGTCTAGCATCAGAAACTGTTGGCCCTCTAATTTGCTGAGGTCGAGCTCTACTGTCTGTCCTGGACGCTGAACCACGAGCCTTTACTTGGCTACGATCTCTAATTGGAGTATGTACTGTAGTCTGAGAACGCACAGGAGTCTGGGTAGCTATCCGCTCAGACGAAGCTAGCTGAGGACAATCCCTCCGAAAATGTCCACTAGATCCACAATGAAAACATGCTCCGGTCTTCCTATAACACTCTCCCGTGTGCCGTTTCCCACAAAAGTCACACTGAGGCACTAGAACCGGAACCGAAGAACCACCTCTACTAACAGCTGAAGGTGATGATACAGTAGGCCTGAAGCGTGTATTGCTCCTCTGAGGGGCTGAAGTACGAGTCCTCTTATCGGAATGTGCGGATGATTCAGTAGGGCCAAAAGATTTCCTAGATCGCTCCTGATCAACACGCTCTCTACCAGAAGCTAACGCCTCCATCTCCTCAGCATCCTTGGCTCTGCTTACCAGCACATCAAAAATCTCATCTTGAAGGGCTACCACCTGCCTACGTAGCTCGTATCTGAGTCCAAAGGCAAATTTACGACATCGATCTCTTTCGGTAGGCACCAGACTAATTCCATACTTTAACAATTTCAAGAACTCTATCTCATACTCTGAAACAGTCATGTCACCCTGAACCAAGTCCTGAAACTGCTGTCGTCTCTGGACTAAGTAGCGCTCACCCAAGAATCGGCTCCGAAAACGCTCCTTGAAGAAATCCCATGTCAAACGATCAGTAGAAACACTACTGGTCACTGACTCCCACCATGTGTGGGCATTTCCATCTAACATCGCTACTGCCCCCAAATATCTCTTTACTGAGTCCAAACCCAACTGATCCATGCGTCTTTCTGTATCCTGTAGCCAATCTTCTGCTTCAGTAGGAATTCCTCCAAGCTGTCCTCCAAAAGTCCTGACCCCATTAGCAATTAGAGTCTGCGAAATATGAACCTCAGATACAACACCAGCAGCTCTGACTGCTCCCTGTATCAACTGCAAAAATTGTCTACCAAAAGTCTCATCCAAAGCAACTCCGGTAGATTCTGACTCAATATCTGTCGCTCCTATGATCGGTGTAGTCATGCCAATACCATCGGTAGGAGGCAGATTCGTTGGGGTCGTAGGAGCAGGATCACCTATCGGAGGTGGGGGATCTACTCGTATCTCATCGATCGGATCTGCAAATCTAGCCACTCGACCTCGTCCACGGCTAGTTCGACGACCACGTCTAGCACTCATTTTGATGGATCTCAAGTTTACTACAGAAGATAAAACTTAGGGTTAGATAAGCACTTGGAATCTCGAACACAGTTAAAAATTTTAATAACTTTGTGATATGACCTTTGTATCTTGTTTTGTAAAATATTTCAAAATCGTATCTTCCATGTGGACTCATACACAGTCCGAGGGTTAAAAACCAAAAGCTCTGATACCAATAAATGTAACCCCCTAGACCCGGCCTATGCGTTTCGACTAAGTCTAGTGGATCACATTATGATTCTTTAAGACATTTTTTCGAAACCGTTATTCAATCAATGTAAAATCACATTATAAATGACATGAAGTTATAATAAATAATACTATCAAAACCTAACTTGTAAATATAATACCAATAAGTAATAAATTAATTTAAAACATATCTTAAAAATCAAATCACGATAAACCGAATAGTAATAGCAAAAGTGTCATCATATTAAAATCCCATACTTTAAAATAAGGTTCATGTTAACAAAATAAAGTCAACTTGCAAGGTAAAAACATTACAATCAAATATACTTCAAGAGATATGTTGATCCTCCAAGTGCTCAATCCAGGGTATCTAACCAACAATATCTGAAAGGGGAAAAATATTTTTGAAAAGTGAGCTAGGCTCAGTGTGTCCCAATATTACCATAAAATCACTATAGGTACACTAAACATATCATAGTCCAAAAAGTCTCATAAAATTATACTGCAGTAAATCTCTTTACAAAGCGTTACCCTAAGGGAACATCTTAGGGCCTGAGAGCCTACCCAAGATAGATTTCGGGGCCGTGGGGCCTACCTAAGAACACATCTTAGGG